TCCTGCTATCTTTTTTTTTTTTTTTAACATACAATGTATTATTTGTTTCAGAGGTACAGGTCTGTGATTCAACAGTCTTACACAATTCACAGCGCTCACCATAGCACACACCCTCCCAAATGTCTATCACCCAGCCACCCCACCCCTCCCACCCCACCACATATTCATGATAATGAGTGATGCTGAGTAATTTTTCATGTGTTTGTTGGCCATATTTATGTCTTCTTTGGAAAAATGTTCATGTCTTCTGCCCATTTTGATTGGATTATTTGTTCTTTGGGTATTGAGATGTAGCAGTCCTTTATATATTTTGGATACTAACCATTTATTGGAAATGCCATTTGCAAATATCCTCTCCCATTTGGTGGGCTGTCTTTTAGTTTGGTTGATTATTTCCTTTGCTGTGCAGAAACTTACTTTAATGTAGTCCCAATAGTTTATTTTTCCTTTATTTACCTTGTCAGGAGACGTATCTAGAAAAATGTTGCTACAGGGCGCCTGGGTGGCTCAGTTGCTTAAGCGACTGCCTTCGGCTCAGGTCATGATCCTGGAGTCCCAGGATCGAGTCCCGCATCGGGCTCCCTGCTCAGCCGGGAGTCTGCTTCTCCCTCTGACCTTCCCCCCTCTCCTGCTTTCTCTCTCTCTCAAATAAATAAATAAAATCTTTAAAAAAAAAAAAAAGAAAAAGAAAAATGTTGCTACAGCTGATGTCAGAGACATTGCTGTCCGTGTTCTCTTTAATGGTTTTTATGGTTTCAGGTCTTACATTTAGGTCTTTAATCCAATTTGAGTTTATTTTTGTGTATGGTGAAAGAAAGTCCAGTTTCATTCTTTTTTTATGTTATGTTAGTCCCATGATGTAGTGTTCCATGGTTCATTGTTTGCGTATAACACCCAGTGCTCCATGCAATACGTGCCCTCCTTAATACCTATCACCAGGCTAACCCATTCCCTCATCTCCCTCCCCTCTAAAACCCTCAGATTGTTTCCCAGAGTCCATAGTCTCTCATGGTTCATCTCCCCCTC